AAATTGAAAATTTTAAAATATATAAAATTCGAATTTGGCCCTAATGACCGGAAGTTAACCTAGAAACGGGCTAATGGCTCATTAGTGAAAGGATTGTGTAAGTTCAGGGATTTTTGTGAAAGGATTTGAAGTTCAGGTACCACTTCGAAATTCCAGCTAAAGTTCAGGTACCATTGGTGAAATTTACCCGTTTAACATTGATGTTTATATTTCTGTACTTTTGTATTTCACCAAATAATAGTATCTAGACATGTGAAAATAGAGAATGGGTGTACATAATCACGGGACAATTAAACAAACAAGACAAGAGTGATCAGTCTTAAGTTTAAAATTGATGTTTATATTTCTGTACTTTTGTATTTCACCAAATAATAGTATCTAGACATGTGAAAATAGAGAATGGCTGTACATAATCACTGGACAATTAGACAAACATGACAAGAGTGATTAGTCTTGTTGGACACCGACTAAGGACAATGGAATTGTATAGTTCACACTCCAGTTGTAAAGTATGGATTATTATAAGCAACATAAATGTTGCCAAATATGAAATGATAAAAACACTATAGAACAAAGTAAAAATGAAAAAAAATGCAAAAATGGACAGGCAATATGGGACATAGGGAGTACCTTATCCTTTTGATTTGTCTTCTACACCAGACACCCAACTGGAACCAGGGATCCTATTGAAACTTTTGTACTTCATCAGCTTCCGCATTGTTTCAACCTTTTCCCACTCTCCTTGGGCTGCATATACATTAGATAGGGTGACAGTACTTCCTGGCACCCTCAACTCCATCTTTGGAATTTTTGTAGACAACATTTCAACAAGATCTTTCCTCTCATGAACCTTACAACCATTAAAGAAAGAACCTAAAATTGACTCTGTAACTTCTATTGGCATTTGTATAATGGTATTATAAGCTTCATCCATCCAACCAAAACGACATAGTAGATCAACGATGCATGCATAGTGCTCTTTCTTTGCAGGAATGCCATAGAGCACATCCATGGATCTAAAAATTTCCAAGCCTTTCTTAACTAATCCATTGTGACTACATGCAGAAAGAAGAGAAGTGAAAGTAAGTTCAGTTGCTTGAATTCCTTCATATTGCATCTTCTCAAAGAGTTTTATTGCGTGGTCTACCATGCCATGCTTTCCATAGCATCCTATTAATGAATTCCATGATGCTGAATTCTTGACAGGAGCTGTTATAAATGCATTCCAAGAATCATTTACGCTTCCACATTTTGCATACATATCTACAAGAGCACTTGAAACAAAGGCATTGATATTAATCCTTGTTCTGTATATCGAGCCGTGGATTTCTTTCCCTATCTTAACTGCACCAATCACTCCACACACGGTAAGAAGTGAGGTGAAAGTGGTTTCATTCGGATTTTGACCCGCAGCTAACATTTCTTGAAACAATGCAAATGCTGCATCATATCGGTGGCTTTGCACGAACCCCGAAATCATTGCATTCCATGTCACCAAATCACACTCCAATCCCTCTTTGCTCATCTTAGACAGCAAAAGAAAAGCAGCATCTGAATCTCCTCTCCTGGAACATGCAGATATGATTACGTTCCATGTGAACTCATTTGGCTTCAGGCCACCATGCCTCATTCTTTCAAACAGATTAAGGCACTCTTCAATATTTCCCATGCTCGAATACCCATATAGCATCGATGTCCAGGTTGCAACATCTCTCATTGACATTGCATTAAACAATGAACGTGCATAATGCATGTTTCTGAGTTTCCCATACATGTCGAGTAATGCATTACCAATTGGTAAATCCACTTGAAAACCTAATCTATATAGCATGCAATGAACTCCCTTTCCTTTCCTCAAATCCTTCAAACCCAAGCAAGCTTTCAAGATTATAGAGATTGTGTAATTATTCATAATAGTTCCTGATTCTAGGAGCAAGGACAAATACCCAATGGCTTTTTTGGGGTAGCCATTGAATGTTAAAGCTGAGATCATCCAATTGAATGCAAAAATATTTGGATTGTGTGTCCTTTGAAATATAAATTCAGCAGAAACTAAGTCTCCACAACTAGCATAGACACCAACAAGCTTTGAATTCAGTGCCAGAACGTTCATATCTAGGCATGATGTTAACATAATTGCATGAATTTGCTTGCATTGTTGAAGGAGTCTCAATTTCATGCAATTCTGAAGCAATGTGCTTAAATGATTTACGGACCAGTTCATCGAGGATTGCAACTATTTCTTATCCAAATTCAAATCCTACAAGCGGAACAAAGTGATAAGCTCGAATTTATTTATTCAATGAAACTGTATAAAACAAGTATGATTCACTTAACAAGCTTTTCAATTTCAATAATTTGAATCTAGAAGGCAGTTTAGTCCTACTTTTGTCCTTAAAAAAGTTGTTTGACTTTTCTTAGTCAATGTTTGTAAACTTTGACCATAATATGCATAGAAAATATATTGAGTTATGCTCCCTTCGTCCCTAAATTAAATTCATGGTTTGACCTCACGGAAGTTTAAGAAGAAGTGTGAAAAACTAAAAAGTCTAGTTAAAATTTGATTGAAAGCGAGAGAGAGAGAGAGAGAGAGAGAGAGAGAGAGAGAGAGAGAGAGACTTGTTAGGACCATCCACATCGCGGATGCTCCCGTAGAGTGCTCCCAAGGAACACAGTTGCTTCCCAACTACCTATTGGAGCCTGACATGGAATGCTTTCCAATCATCATATGCTTGGGGAAGCATCAGTTTCTTCCCTTGAAATGGTGTATGGCTGACAAGAGAAAGGGCGCCAACTGCTTCCTCCGACAACAGAAAAATGGAAATCACAACAAAATAGTGGGTTCTTGGAAGCAACCTTGTTAGAAGAACAAAATGGCTAAAAAGTTCTTTAAGTTAAAAATAAAAAAAACAATGATGTCTCTATTTAGAAAACATGCTAAAGAAACTAAGGGAAACATCCCACGGATGGAATCTAAGAGCCACATATTCCATTCTATAAAAGGAAAGTGGAGAAATCCATTTTGTTGGGATGAACAGAAAGTGAAAGTGTGAATTTTATTTGAGGATAGAGAGAGTAATATGAATCTAATATCATTAGATATTTTCTATAATGTTGTTTCGAAAAAACATATTTATACTCCATAATATTTGCTTAGTGTATAAACTTAGATATTAATTGTTGAAGAAATATATTGGAGCCCGTGAAAAGTTAAATGGAAATAAAAAAATTAGAGGGAGAGAGAGAGAGAGAGAGAGAGAGAGTTTGAGCTCTAACTGGCATACCTTAAGATAAGTATCGAATGCTTGATAAAGTTCATAATGAACAAGCCTACCAATATCCAACATAGCCGAATCCAAACATGCCACTCTCTCAACTGGCAATTTAGGGTCATCCCTCGGAAGAACTTGAACAAAACAGTCTATCTGTCAATTTCAGTCACTCAAATATGGTAGTATTTCAATTTTTGGACCGTGTTTATCAACTTGACTATAAATTTCTCAAGTTGTCAAAATGCACCGAAATTAATCATAACTATCCAAAATAATTAACTTAGATGAAGGGTTAGTGTTTTTACGACTAGGGCATTTCGCCAAATAGACATCATAGATTGCACTTGGTACAGAGGACCAAAAATTAAAAAGTCACCATAGCTTAGGGACCAAGAGTGGAATTAGTTCCAAAGGAGAACTCATAGTATTTACTTTTTTTCATGTGAACATTATATTATTTTCACTATTAATCTTTAGATATATTTTTTCCTTCCAGTTTTGGTGCACAACATTAAAATTCTTCAAACTTGTAAATCATTTCACTTAAAACCTGATGGCGACCAAAGAATATGCTGTTTTAGGAGTACATACACCCTTTCATTAATTCATTGGAAGTTTTGAACATAAATGTTTGGATTCCATTTCATCCAAGTTGGCAGGATAATTCTGGTTGGATCAAAAGATTCTGAAAGAGAAATAAAGTTAATTGAGTTCTGTTCTCTAAATAAAGCCAATTTGGTATTACTTGAGATGGAATTTAGAGAAGTGAAAGCAGGCTTAAGCGGGAGAGATGGCGAAAACTCCCTGCCTGCATCATTTTATCCTGTTCTCTTTTTTACTTAGTTTAATTTAAATTTTAATATCCTCCCTGTTAAACACTATTTACAGGTCTTTTTAGTTTCTTTACTTATTTCAACTCCGTTCCTGCATCATTTTTTCCTGTTCTCTTTTTGACTCAGTTTAATTTAAATTTGAGTATCCTCCATGTCAAACACTATTTAGTATTTACAGGTCTTTTTTAATTTCTTTAGTTATTTTCTTTTATCATTTGTTAAAATAACATTGCCATGTCACATATATCTTTATACAACATTTAAAGTAATTTTTTTAAATATATATTTTTTATTTTAAAATTTTGTACCATTATTTTGACCAAAATGTCAACTCAACTAGAGGGTGTGATTGAGAGGATGTGGGTGGGCAGGGGGCGGGCTGGGTGGGGAGGGGAGGTAATGGGGGTTAGAAGGGTAGGAACCACTTTGGTGTCGAATGGATCACCATATGGTGCTCAAATTAACCATAGTACGGAGTATGATACTTGTGGGCTGTGGCCAATGTCGAAATATTACTCTTATGAATCAAAAGTTTAATTACTCACATTATGTAATAATTGCACTCTTATAATTGACATACAAATAAATTTTACAGAAACATAGCTATTTTATCATTTCACATATGCCTAAATTGAAACATAGCTCATTTATCATTTCACATATGCCTAAACCTCAAGAACAAGTTTGGCAGTGTTAGATCATTTAACAAATCCTTGGTCACTTGGGTTCAAAACGAAGGTGTACCCATGAAAATCCTCCTTGGGTAAGTAATTCTACAATACGTGTAATGGAAAAGTGCGTTTACATTTTAAAAACATATAAAGCATTACAAACAAGAATACCCTTTTACATCTTAAAAACATACAAACAACTCAGAATTCAAAGCCCCCCTGACTAGGTTAAATTGAATCTTGTTTTCATTTATTACCCTTAGGTGCTATTAACGAAATCCTCATCAGAGTTTTGATCTGAAAGGCCTAAAAAGACCCCAATTCAGTTTCATTGTCAACTTAAATCATTTGAAAATAGGCCAAAAATAAAACTAGTAGAGCTAATTATTCAAACCAGGAATCCAGAATTTGAGAGATTTGAATCAAGAACTATGGATTACAGTCCTGGGAGTTTTATTTATTTTGCAATTCCAATGTTTGGCTCAAAATCATACTGAAACCCTTTTACTTTCTTCTTATATATCACATTCTCACCCACATGAAAAAACCCGGAAGGGAAAAAGAACACAGTAGAGAAAAATATACCTCAAGTCCTCAACTGCCGTTGGCCAACTGACAGCCTGAGCTCTGTACCGATACACGACCACCGTCGAAGCAGCGATGATGCAGGGGCGGCGCCGATGACCGTCGAATGCAGTATAATATAAGTCGAGTTAAAATATGTCATGAAAGTTTTACTTAATTGTCAGTCAGAATTTTTCTAGTTTAATTGTTAAAAATCAAACCAAATAAAAGGAAAATTTTTTAGCAAAAACATACAGTATAAACCAATTTATATAATCATATCATTTCTTCTTTCGTATTCTATTCGTCAAATTTTCTATTTTAAATTTAAGTTTTCTAAAAAAAACTATTGAGTACTTCGTCTCATTAGATAGTTAACAAAGAAAAAATAACAGAATTAAGTTTTGGGAGTAGAAGAAAATATGTTAGGGAGTAGTTTAAATTTGGAGATATTGTATTGGTTAAATGTGATATAGAGTAGAAATATAAAAAAAAGTACGATAATTTAAATTTTCTAGTTGGACTTACAGAAAAGAAAAATATAAACTTTTTATTGAGACATAGGGAATAATAGTACTCAGTAATTTTTATTACTCCGTATTTCTCTCTTCTCTGCATATCAGAAGTTTTTTTATCTATTTTTAAATTTTTTACAGTCAAAATTGATAAATTTTGATCATTGATTAAATAAAACTGATATTATATTCCGTATAATATCATTCAAAATATTATTTTATCTAATTAACATACCATTTAATTTTTATTTTATTATAGATCAAACATCGATTCGAGTTAATTGCGAAAAGTCAATATTGGACATATATTCTAAAACGAAAGAAGTCAATGATACGAATAACTTTTTTAAGTGTATACTCCCATAATGACCATTATGACTCTCTTAACATTGAAAAATGAATGAATGTAAATATATTTTATGTTTATATTCATTTTTTTAAGGTATCAAAAAAGTTATACTCCGTAGCCAATTAATATGGAATGGAGGAAATATACCGTTTAATTTTAATCCCTAATTGAATTACACAAGTATCACGATAACTTTTGTTTCCGTTTATTTTTTATCAAAATGCTAGAAATACGCCAAAAGTGTATTCAATTTGTACACATTTCTTGATGTGGATATGAAGAGAGAAGTGAATAAGAAATGTGTGGCGATGTGTTAGGTCATTGGTGGTGTAAAGTGAGGTACACTTTTGATATGCTCCTATCGCCACTCATTTTTCATTGACTATTTGATAAAATAAAATATTCTTATCACCTCTCATTAAATCCTTTCATAGCCATAAACATACCAATTGTAGGTTTGATCAGAGATAAGTTTTTACTGATCCAATAACCAGCTCTAAACTTCTTGCCTTGAGAAACAAAGCTCCCTCCAATACAACTAGCTATTCTGCTTAGGTTGGAAATCCCATATATATGCTGCAGTTTAGCAAGTGGGGAAAAGGGATCCATTTTTTTAACCCAATGATTTAAAAAAACAAAAAACAAAACAGGCTTGAATAAAAATAATTACAGCATTGAAACAAGTTACAGAGCTTTTTCAACATCTCCTCACTTCAGTATAAGTTCCAGTAACAAAAGATGGATGCTTATAAGTTCATATGAGCATAAATCACTTACTGGGAAGCAAATCTGCATTAAGTCTTTAAATCCAAACACTGCTTGGCTTGAAAAGAAGGCCTGAAAATATCACTCAAAATTCAAAAGAAATTGCAAAACTCTGCTGGGAGATGACCGGAGATCCATGGTACTACTTATCTATATACTCCGGTGTATAAGCTTCTATTTGTCAAAACATACCAAGTCGTAGATTTCCAACAAAGTTTGAAAAATATCCTTTCATTTAAAGCATGTGTCTATAAACCAAATTTGACAACCTTCTGATCCAACTGGAAGGTTGCCTAAACTGTCCTCTAGAAAACTGGCATCCACGAAGTCTTGCATATAACGGACTTCCAATTCTTCCAGAACACATGCGGGTTTGAGCAGAAGTCCAATAACAAATAATTGGTCTTCAAAACCTCGATCCGTGTTGTCAATTCGAAGAGAAATCTGTTTGAGCTCCATCATGAAACAAGAAGGCACCGGATCCAACAATCCAACAATCCATCTCTTTAATTCCTGAAACAAGAAGGCATCAGTTCTTGTCATAAGATAGTTTACGAAAACTTGGCAAGGATTTGTTAATAAAAGAAGTAATATAATTAATTGGTAATATTTCTTTGTTTAGTTCTGGTTCCTTTAGAACTCAGCCTGCTAAGATGTTTCTATTACTTATATTGACTCTACTCTCATTGTTAATACAAGAAAATGAAGAAATACAAGAGTATTTTCTCCCAATAACTATTCTTTCTTCCCTTTTTTCCAATTGACACCATTGGCTGTGTTTTCTTCACTGTCATCGTGACATCCTCCTCAGCATGGACAATGGCTTTGGAAAACCCTACTACCCCTGATGCGGCTACGCTGAAGCAAAATCTAGCATATTGGCCAGAAGATGACAATGCGGTCATTCAACGATGTCATTGAATCTCACCCTACAATCTATCTCCTAGTGATAAACCGGGTATACCGGCCAGAAAGGCTAAAATCCACCGTTGGTCCTTCAACTTTATGAGTTTTGCACGATTAGTCCTTCAAGTTTTAAAAGTGCATGAATAGTCCTTCAACTTTATGAGTTGTGCACGATTAGCCCTTCAAGTTTTAAAAGTCCATAAGAAGTCCTTTGAGTACGCATCAGTCCTCCAAATTAGGTCTTTTTCACAATAAACATTAAAAGCTAAATGAAATACTAGTTCCATATTATATGGAGCTATCACTCCATTTAGCTTTTAATGTTTACCGTCAAAACGACCTCATCTAGAGAGCTGACGTGTACTTGAAGGCCTATTTATGGAATTTTTGAAACTTGAAGGACCAATTGTGCATAACTCATAAAGTTGAAGGACTATTTATAGTCTTTTGAAACATGAAGGACCAATCGTGCACAACTCATAAAATTGAAGGACCAATAGTGGAGTTTAGCCCTGCCAAAAAATAGGAGATAATTATGAGGAATAGTTGAAATCTCTTTGTCTGGATTTGATGATGGATAAGTTCCGTTAAAGCCTCCAGTATCAGACAATGTTGATGAGTGGTGGATGCATTACTCTTTGTTGGTGTCATGGATATGAAACACCATAGAACCAATATTGAGATCAACAATTTCACATATAGAATTAGCTTCCGAACTTTGGGGTGATTTGAAAGCATGTTTCTCAATTGTTAACGGACCATGGATCCAACAACTAAAATGTGACCTTACAGAATACAAACAAAAGTCTTGAACTACACTAAAACATGTGGTCAAATTTACGATCATAAAGAATTACACACCCTATTGGCACTTGCTGAAGCTCAGTCTTGGGAAGTCCATCAAATGGATGTTCCCAGTGCATTCCTTCATGGTTACCTTCACGAAAACATTTTCATGCTTTATAGCCAGGGTTCACTCCTCGAGCTTCTCTTTTGTTTGTAAGTTAAAGAAGTTTTTGTATGGTTTGAAACAGGCTCCGTGATGTTAGTTTGCCAAACTTCTTGGTGCTTTGAAGATGTACAGTTTTGTTCAGTCCCTCTCAGCTTATTCTTTGTTTTCACTAAATGGCGCGGGGTATTCATGTACTTGTCTATGTGGATGTATTGGCAGTTACAGAAAATATTACGATGCTGATATTATTTATCTGAATATTTTCACATGAAAGATCTAGAATATTTAAAATATTTTCTACACATTGAGGTGGCTTGTAGCTAGTCTAGTATTTACTTATGCCAAATCAAATATGACCCTGATATTACTTTTGAGACAATATTACTTTGATCGCGCCTTCGAGCAAACCTATGGAACAGAACCATCGGTGCCCTTTCTCAAACTCCGTTGCTTGTTGATCCGGAAAAGTATAGGAAGGGGTGTCCTGGTCATGACATACTTCTTTCTTCATATAGTGATTTGCATCCAAACATATGGTGTGATTCGAACTGGGTGTTCTTTGACTAAGGGTTGGTTTGTGCAGCTTAGGGACTCTCTTGTGTATTTGAAGAAAGAGACATCGATAACCAGATCTTCTACCAAGGCTAAATACCGTTCCCTTTGAAATGGTTAGAGGGTCTACTACCCTAGGCATACTTCATACCGATCCACTATGATAGTGTTGCACTTCACATGGATGTCAATCCATTTTTTCACGAGAAGACGAAACACATTAAGATACATTGTCATGTTGTTTGAGATGAAATTATGTGTGGTGTTACTCATAAAGAATATGTTACTACTACACATCAGCTTGCCAACATTCATATCAAAGCATTGGTCAAATCACATATGGGTTTTTTATTCCCAAGTTGAGGGAGTGTCATGAAAAGAAGCAATATAATTATTTGGTAATATTTATTTATGGTACATATCTTGTCATTATTGTTGTATTGCTTGTTTCCTTGTATATTTTTTTCCCTTTAAAACTCATGAAATATTTCGTATGGGTATAAACCCAAGGTTGGCCGAGTCAATGGTGAAGCATCCTTTCCCGGGGAGGGGATGACCGGATTTGGTCTTAGAGTGCAACACCCGGGCCAGGGTCATAATCCTAGAAGGGATGAGCCCAGGGTTGACCGTGTCAACAATTTGGGTCTACTCTCTTGAGGAGAAGACAGGCCTGGCATGGCCTTAGGATGCGACATTCGAGCCATGGATAGACGGAGCTGCACGCACATTGGAGTGGACAGGGTACAACTTAGGGATATGGCAAAGGCTACGGCTATAACCCGAGTGATGGGTTGACAGTTGTAACTCCCAGGCGAGTGGCAACTTTGAGGACATGTGATGAGATTCTTGCAGATCACCAGAGGCCCAGCAGCCGGCGATGTGATGTTGAAGTCAAGATACTAGGCTCCAAAAAATGTAGTCCAACAGCTAAAGTCCAAAGTGACTTGTCAATCAAAGTATGCAGTCACGTGGCTATAGTAGACGTCACAGTTCTACAGTAGCCACCCTAGGTTTGCACCTATAAATAATGTTGTATTTCCTTCAGAAAGGGGATCCGAACTCTAGCACTCTACTAGCCCTGTACTTTCTCCTTTGAGCACCCTCTACTTAAATATTAATAACAGTTAGGCTATAGGTATTCCCACCTACAACCTTTCAGATGTCTTGACACAGTTGAGTGTTTCAATTTTGTTATTAGTTTCACAACTTAGCTTCTTGTCCTAGACCCGGTCTAGAGCAGTAAGTCCGGTCAAGCTAATTTACATGATTACATCATCAATTTCTAATCTTCTACTCCCTCCGTCCAAAACAAACTACTTATTTCCTCTTTGGGATGTCCCAAAAAAAGCTTCCTCTTTCCTTTATTGGAAAAAATTGAGTGGCTTACAATCTTGCTCTCTCCTTTGCATCACTTTCAACCACACATTTTCATTTTCTTTAAACTTTGTATTAAGTGAAACTGTGAGCCTTTTGTTGGGACAGAGGGAGCATTATTTATATTGACTCTCCTTTCATTGTTAATACCAGAAATACAAAAGAATAAGGTCATGTTCTCCCCAACTTATTTTTTTAACTTAATACTTATTTTTATTAGAATCAAATCATATCAGACAAGATTAGATCAGACCAGATTAGATCAGAAATAGCTTTAAATATAACAACATTCAGACCAGAACAGATCATAACTTATTCCAATCACATCAGGTAAAGAGAACATGGCCTAAATTTCTCACAATAATGTTCTTAACAATGATACCTCTGAAAAGCTGAGACTTCTAAGACGAGGAGATCTTCTTGGTATCATTGAAAAGATCGGGATCTAATGACCACTCCACGGACAAGTCAGACAAATTACAAAACATAGGAAGGGTGTCGAAGAGCTCATCCCCAGCCGCAAGATCCTAAGGATGGAACAAGTGTTAAGAATTGCTAAAAAATCTGATTCAAAACAACTATACGAATCGAAAAATTTTATGATTATGAAATTTGAACCAGTTACTAAAAATTAAACATTAGAAAAAGACTAATGATGATAAGGTTGTCTGCATAAGCATGCATACCTTGAGAAAGTCATCAGTTAGAATAAGCTCCTTTACATTAGCAACAGCTGAGAGTAGTTTAAACCCACGATGCACAATAATATCCTGTGCAGCTTCATATAAGCGACATATATTAATTTACGCACGCTCAACTAACTTTGTCGTGTCACCCAATATACAAAAATCATTGATGAGCTCGCCATTGTACATAAAGGTTTTGAGAGAAGCTCTGTTAATATAGACCCGACGATCGTAGGAAAGTGCATCTTGAAATGTAAAACCGACTTCATAAAAGTTGATATCATCATCATTAATTGTTTCATCAATGTCGAGGAATTGAAGGTTGGGGGCAGAAATGCATATGTTGTTGAGGTTCCTCCATTTACACCGGTAGATAGATAACGAATCAAGTGATGAACAAGAGAATAACTTTTCTATGGAGTTAAAATCCACAAATATAATTTCAGAGACACTCAACTTCTTCAAGTTCGGAAAAGATACCCAAGAAGGAATGACAATAACACAAGGCAAATCCAAGCTAAGTTCTTTCAAGGATTCACTCCTGATGAAGAAATCCAACACGTAAGTGTCATAAGGAGAGCCAGGCTTCTCAAGGTATAAATTGAGAACCTGCACGTTGTGCATAAATGCAAAAGAAACCCATTCTATGATAAGAGGAGCATCTTCCAGATTGTCGCACGAGAGAGAGAATGTCTTGAGTGAAGATCCATCACTAAGAGCAAAGGCTCTTCCCACGAAGTCCAAGAAGAGTGGCCTTTCTGGGAAATCACATTGTGATACAACAAGATTCGGAATAAAAGCCCACAAGCTCTTCCACCTTTTTGACAACACAGTTGTGGTCACTGCCCAATAACAAATATTTGGTCTTCAAAACCTCGATTCGTGTGGTCAATTTTAAGAACAATCTGTTTGAGCTCCGTCTTGAAACAAGAAGGCACTGGATCCAACAATCCATCTCTTTCATGCCGAGGAAAATGGTCAGATTCCTGGAGAAAGTAAACATCAGTTTTTGCAGTAAGGTTGTTTACGAGAACTTGGCAAGGAATAAGGATATATAATGGTACCTCCCAAAAGCTGAGATTTCTAAGACGGGGAGATCTTAGTATCATTGACAAGATCCTGAAAGACATAAGATCTAATGACCCCTCCACTGACAAGTCGGTCATATTACAAAACATAGGAAGAGTGTTAAGGAGCTCATCTCCAGCCGCAAGATCCTAAGGATGGAACAAATGTTAGAGATTTGCAAACAGAACCTGATTCAAAGCACCTATAGGAACACAAAAGCTTCATGATTATGAGATTTGAACAAGTTACGACAAATTGAACATAAAAGAAAGGCTTATGATGATAAGATTGTGTACATAAGCATACATACCTTGAGAAAGTGATGAGTTAGAGTGAGCGTCTTCACATTAGCAACAACTAATAGTAGTTTAAACCCACGAGGCACAACAATATCCCGGTCAGCTTCATATAAGCGATAGATATCAATTTGCGCACTCTCAACTGACTGCATTGTGTCGCCCAATATGCAACATTCATTGATGAGCTCGCCATTCTACATGAAGGATCTGAGAGAAGATCTGCTAATATGGTATTGGCGATCATAGGAAAGAGCATCTTGAAACGAAAAACCAACTTCATCGTAGTCGATATCCTCATCATCAATTGTTTCATCAATACAGAGGAATTGAAGTTTGGGGGCCGAAATGTGTATGTTCTTGAAGTTCCTCCATTTGCATTGGCAGATAGATAACGACTCGAGTGATGAACAAGAAAATAACTTTTCTATGGACTTGAGTGAGTTGACATCCACAAATATAATATCAGAGACAGTCAACTCCTTCAGGTTTGGAAAGGATACCCTAGGTGGAACTACCGCAATACAAGGCAAATCCAAGCTAAGTTGCTTCAACGGCTCACTTATGAAGAAATCCAACATTTAAGTGTCATAAGGGGAGCTAGGCTTCTGGAGCTGTAGATTGAGAAACTCCACCTTGAGCAACAGTGCAAAAGAAATCCAAGTTATGATAAGAGGAGCATCTTCCAGGATGTCGCACCCGAGAGAGAATCTCCTGAGTGAAGATCCATCATGAAGAGCAAAGGCTCTTACCACGAAGTCCAAAAAGAGTGTCCTTTCTGGGAAGTCACATTATGAAACATGAAGATCCGCCACCTTTTCGATAACACAGTCGTGCTCACTGCTTCTTTCAGCATGAGAAAACTCAAGATATGAATAAGAACCTCATCAGGTAGATCAGATAACTGAGTTGAATAGCTACTAGCCCAGCATTCACATAGTTTCCCATACTTATAAGCTTGGGGAGCTTCATCCATGAGGGCACAATATCAACTCCACCTAGTTTTCCAGTGATACAAATCAGCAACAAAAATGAATATAACTCGTTTACTAGTTCAGTTGTTTATCAGATGTGAATGTTTCACTATTCAAAAATACTAAAAGATGTACATTATTATTTATTAATCAACAAACACAAGTGAAAAGAGCACAACGATCCTTTGGCACTATGAAGATCACTAAAGCGCATGGGATATGCCCGGAATTAACTTGTGGATTCAAATGGTTACATAATATCTGGCTGTGAGAATTACCCCTCCGCCCCAAAATTATGGTCTCACTTCGAACGTGTAAATCTCATCCCTTTTAAATCTACTTTGTTTACAAATCGGTATAGAAACAAAAAATTACAAAATACATATTTTAAAATTACATAAAAATTCTACAAACAAGAGGTGACATATTTTATTTGATCAAAAAACATGCAAACAAACAAAAGTTACCAAAAAACCAAAATAGTAACTATGATAATAATTCTGGGACGGAGGGAGTAGAATTTTAATATTAAGAATAATAGGATTGTTGATTAAATTTATGCAATTATTCATTGAATTAACATGATTATCAGCTCAATATTTAAGATAATATAAAAATGTTAAAAATAATATAGAGCAATGCATCATAAAAAAATTCACATGATTGAAAAATACGGAGTATGAAGATAAAAATTACATGTGATAAAGATATTACATTTGACACATGATGAAATCCAGGAGTTTTAATCTGAAAGCCCTCAAAAAACAAATCAGTTTCACTATCAACATTAACATCATTTGAATATAGGCTAAAACTAATACTAGTAGAGCTAATAATTCAAATTAGGAATTCAGGATTTGAGATTTGAATCAAGAATTATTGATTACAGTCCTGGGAATTCATTTATTTTGCACTTCTTATGTTTGCTTCAAAATTGTACTGAAACCCTTTTAGTCTTCATCTTATATACTCTGTATCAAATTGCAATCCCATTTTGTATTTTCTGAAATACCAGTCCGTAGTAAAGAAGGAAGTCGAGAATCATGCAATTTAATTATAGAAATGCCAAAATAGGAAAGAAAAAAATAACAAAGTAAAGAAAAATATACCTCAAGTCCTCAACTGCAGTTGGCCAACTGACGGCCCAAGCTCTGTACAGATACACGACCACCATTGAGGCGGTGATGATGCAGTGATGACCGCTGTTGATGCAGTGGTGATGCAATTTGAAGCAAACTGAAGCCTGAAAGCCGAGATGGGCATAGCCGCTGCAGCGATGTTGCAGGGATTCTGATATCGGGCATATATGTTCTGGAAAAAATATAGAGACAGGCAAAGAGTATGAATCTATTGAATTGGAAAAATATTAAGACAATATCATGAAGCTAATCCATATCATGAGAGAATTAAGAAGTCACGTCCAAACGTCCTGAAAGAGAATTAAAATTAATTGAATTCTGTTCTGGAGATAAAGCCGATTTGATATTCTTTGAGAAGCAAAAGCTGGTTTTAGCGGGAGAGAAAGCCGATTTGATATTACTTAAAGCCTCTTTGATATTACACGAAATGAGGAAAATGCTTGTCACAACCAAAATTTGCCACACTAACATGGCAACACCTTACTAAAAAGTTATTACACGAAATGAGAAATAAAATGATGTCAACATGTTGGAAAAGCAAGAGAACACTTGATTGACGCTTTTTTATCTCCTTGTTTTTTTATCAACAAGGAGTTCAACTTACAACAACAAAAGAGGATAAACAAGCTAGGCAATGCATTGCTCCCCTTCAACAAAGTCTCCCAATTTAAGCCCTTAGTGCTATAGGTATTTAGATATTTTAACATATCCTATTTACACTGTACAATTGATGGTATAAGAACAGATTCTCCTTAAATTTTGCTAAACTTTTTGGAAGATCGTGAAATATTTTTCTAACTTGGGCTAGTAATAAATGGTGTTGTATTGCATATCGATATTCACTCCGTCCCATAATTGAAATCACACTTTTCTTATTTAGCATCTCAGAACTAAACTCAAATTTCTAGTTTTGGTTTACCTGAAACAATAAATAGACTAAGTTTTTATTTTCTTGAACCGTTTTTTTCTACTTGCCCTCATTTTATATCTCATCCTTAGTATCATTCCAAAGACATGATTGGAAAGTCAAAGCACTTCTATAAATTTGATAATGCGTGCGGGGTTGCATATTAACTGGTAAGCTATGAACTCTAAGCTTGCCCAACATCTCTTTCCATACATCTTTTGTGTACTCACAAGTTTAAAAAAGAACGATGATTAATAGATTCAACTTCTTTCATACAGGACATGCATTTGTCCTCCAAGCCAAGGTGAATTTAAGAAGATGCTCTTAACTGGTAATTTATTCTAAAGTATAAGCCATAAGTTCACTCTAAACTTTTTGCCTTAAGAAACAAAGCTCCCTCTAGTAGCACTAGGCACTAGCACTGTGTTTGGTTCGTGGAATTCAAAAGAAAGAAAAAAAAATGTCTCATTTTCTTCACCAAAACGGAAGGAAAATCATTTTCCTTTTTAGTGCATTTTCTTCTCCCATTTTCTTTTGCTTCTACTTTTCTTCTCTTTTTCCTCTCTAACCAAACAAGAAAAGTTACTCTCTCATTTTCTTATCTTTTCCCGTTCAAATTCATTGAACCAAACCATAACGTAGCTATTTTTTGCTTAGGTTGGAAATCCCATATGCTGCAGTAGAGCAGGTATGTAAAGTGGATCCATTTCCCCCATAAATTCTTTTTTTTTCCATGGTGAAAGCCCAAACATGTTTGGCCAGAAGTTTTTTCTTAAAAAAAGGCTTGAACAAAAATAGTTGCAGCATGGAAACAATAAGTTTCAGAGCCTGTTCGACTTCTCCTAGCTTCAGTATAAGCAGTCACATATTCCAGTAACAACATATGAGTTCATATGAGCATGGATCGCTCGCTGGGAAGCAAATTTACATAAAGTTTTTAAGTCCCCATCTCTGACTGATGATAGCAAGTGATTTGGTTTGTGAATCAGATCCCCAAAGCATGAAAGTTGCAGACATTTAAACACTACTTGGCTTGTAAAGAAGCCCTGAACCAGCAACAACAAAACTCAATTCATTACCTGTCTTCCTGTCTATATACAAGCTTGTTTTTCCCAAAACATAAGTCTTAGATTTCCATGAAAGTATGACGAATCTCCTTGAAGAAATGTCAAGACCTCAAGAAAATTTGATAAGCATGTGATCCACCTGGAAGGCTACCCATACCGTTCACTAGAAAACCAATGTCCACAGTGTCCTGCATATAATAAACTTCCAATTTTTCAAGAACTGTTGCAGTTTTGACCAAAAGCCCAATAGCGAATATTTGATCTTCAAAACCTTGATCAGTGTTGTCAATTTTAAAAGCAATCTGTTTGAGCTCCGTCAAGAAACAAGAAGGCACCGGATCCAACAATCCATCTCTTTCATGCCGAGGAAAGTGGTCAAATTCCTGAAGCAAGAGGACATCAGTGTTCGTGGTGAGATTGTTCAGGAAAACTTGGCAAGGAATCAAAGATAGAAAATGATACCTCCAAAAACCTGAGGCTTCTAAGATGGGGAGATCTTCTTAGTATCATTGATAAGATCCTGAAAGACATAGGATCTAATGACCCTTCCACTGACATGTTGGTCATATTACAAAACATAGGAAGGGTGTCGAGGAGCTCATCCCCAGCCGCAAGATCCTAAGGAAGGAACAAATGTTAAGAATTGCTAACAGAACCTGATCCAAAACATCTATAGACATAAAAAAAAACTTTAATGTTTAGGATTATAATTGAACCAGTTATAAAAGAATGGCTAATGGTGATAAGATTGTGTACATAAGCATACATACCGTGAGAAAGTGATGGGTTAGAGAGAGACTCTTCACATTAGCAAGAGCTGAGAGTAGTTTAAATCCACGAGGCACGACAATAAACTGTTCAGCTTGATATGCGCGATCAATATTAATTCGCGCACGCTCAACTAACTGCATTGTGTCCCCCAATATGCAACATTCATTGATGAGCTCCCCGTTGTAGATGAAGGATTTGAGAGCAGCTCCATTAATATGGATCCGGCGATCGTAGGAAAGTGCATCTTGAAATGCAAAACCAATTTCATCAAAGTCGATGTTATCATCATCAATTGTTTCATCAATACAGAGGAATCGAAGGTTGGGGGCAGAAATGTGTATGTCCTTGAGGTTCCTCCATTTGCATTGGTAGATAGATAACATTTCGAGTGATGAACAAGAGAATAACTTCTCTATGGAGTCCACATCCTCAAATATAATTTCAGAAACACTCAACTCCTTCAGATTAGGAAAAGATACCCGGGGAGGAATTACCACAACACAAGGCAAATCCAAGTTAAGTACCTTCAAAGATTCACTTCTGAGGAAGAAATCAAACATGAAAGTCTCATAAGGGGTACTAGGCTTCTCGAGGTGTAGATTGAGAACCTGCAAATTGAGCCTCAATGCAAAAGAAACCCAAGCTATGATAAGAGGAGCATCTTCCAGAATGTCGCACGAGATAGAGAATTTCCTGAGTGAAAATCCATTGCGAAGAGCAAAGGCTCGTATCACAAAGTCCAAGAAGAGTGGCCTCTCTGGAAACTCACGTTGTGATACATGAAGATCCGGAATAAAAGCCCACAAGTTCTTCCACCTTTTTGATAACACAGTCGTTTTCACTGCTTCCTTCATCCTAAGAAAGCTCAAGATATGAATAAGGATCTCATCAGGTAGATCACATAACTGAGTTGAACGGCTACTAGCCCGGCCTTCACATAGTTTCCCATGCTTATAAGCTCGGGGATCTTCATCATCCATCAGGGCACAGTACCAACTCTGCCTAGCTTCCCAGTGATACGAATCAGCAATGAAAATGAATACAATTTGCTTACTAATTCAATAGTTTACCAATCCTTTTGTACTACAATGGCCACTATATCCTTTTGAACAACAAAGAGCACTAAATTCTTTTGTATGACCCTTACAAATATTCATCAATTAGTATTGACCTTCTACACGTACTACAATTTTGTGTGCCAAACTGTCAATTGAAATTAAATATTACGGAGTACGTAGTACTTCTTATATTTTGGTATACAATAATTGTTAACAAAAAATATATTCCTAATTTATAAATTATTTTTACAAATAGAAATAATTAAACCTGCAAAGAAGGAATATATAATTATCATACTAAGCTAATGTTTTAAATATATATTACTCATATAAAAAATTAAAAATATTATCATTAGCAACCCAATGTTCTCTTATACTCGTGTATATAACTATGTAAATTTTTAAAAACAATTTACGAAGTAATAAAATATTTGAGATACCTTAATAATATTAATAATTGTACAAATTAAAATTAGGCTAAAATCCACCCTTCAACTTTATGAGTTGTGCACGATTGGTCCTTCAAGTTTAGGAAGTTCATAAGTAGTCCTTCAACTTTATGAGTTTTACACGATTGGTCCTTCAAGTTTTAAAAGTGCATAAGTAGTCCTTCAAATATTCGTCAGCCCCTCGCCCCCTCCAGATACAGTCCTTTTAATAATACTTCCTCCGTCCCACTATATTTGTCTACTTTCATTTTTGCACACCATCCAATACATTTTTTAATCCATTTTATCTT